GATACAGTTACAATGGCGCCCGCCCAAAATTACAGTTACACACACGATTAAGGGCGCCCACTAATCAGAGTACCGTTGCGGCCGCATGAAGAAGCACATAGACAAAAGGTGCCGCGCGGCAGGAAAAATCCTAATTACTGAATTCCTAATTTCCTATCTAATGCGAAAAAGCAAAAAGCACAAATTCCAGAAGGAAATTCCGAAATTCCGAGAGCCATCGGGGCTCGACAAAATTCGAAAAAGACTTGAAAGAAAATTCAAAAGAACGAAGCAATTTCCCGCGCGATGTCCGCGCCCAAAAGATCGAACCCGAAACGAAAGAAACGACGTCAACATTTATTAATCGTGCGCGTGGTGGCGCGCCAGACATCCATCCGACCAATCAATCAACCGGCCGTCCCAGGACGCACCCAGCTCCGAACCCAGTTATCCGACAGGAAGCGACGAAAAAGACAAAAAACAAGGGTACTGATGCAATTTTCCACCGATCCCGATCTCACGTAATTGGCCCAACCTTCCCAGCTTAGGACCCCTCGTTGCAACCGCGCAGAAAATCGCGCGTTACAGAAAGTGGTTCGTCACGTATGTGACGCCCAGGGGGTTCCAATATTAGCAAGCTCCTGCTTGCTTGTTGACACGTGTCGATTTCTCTAATCGATCGACACGCGGAGCACTTCCCTTTATGCCACTTACCGTTCGATTGCGTGTGGACGTCATCCAACGTGGCAACACTGCTATTCTACTAGTTCCTCAGATTGGTCTCTCGACGATCCAAGGATGGGATCTTTCTCGTGTCGTCGCCGCGACACGCGTCCATTACCTGTTGCCTCAGTAATTAACCGGGACGGGGAAAGGGAGTCGGTACATGGCGGCATGGCGGGGTGGAGGGTTTATGGGTAGCGGGGGCAGGAGACTTTCCATCCCGGCTACAGTCTCCGGGAGCTCTTGGTAACGAACAATGCAGTGAAAGCGGGGGAAGCGGTTGCCAGTGCGAGGGAGGGACGCGAGATAATCGAGATAGAGGGTGGTGAGAGTCCGAAAAAGTGCCGCGCAGAAACGATCGCGATCTTCGCATGTGAGGATGGTCCCTGTTATCATGCAATAAACCTCATCATATTGTGGCCGCGCCACGCGACACTAAGGAGCAAGGCATGGAGGCAGAAGGCTGGGACGGCGCATCGAATGGAGGGGTGGGGATGCACCACTATAGCGAGGCGAGCAGCGTAGAAGTGGCGGAAGGTGTCGCGGGGAAACGGATTGGAGGGGAACGTGATGGGGGTGGTGAGCTGGCGGAGGGTGAGGTAGTCAAGGGGACGGCGAGAGAGTAATCGGGGACGAAGGCTGACCGCCCATATCGGTACGTCGGCGACTTGGGGGACGGGTTGGGGAGGAGGGGGATCGGCTCCGTCGCCGCGTTGATGGGGTCGGAGTCGTGGCCGCGAGGTCGCCATCTTCAGGCCGGGGCAGCTCCGGATCTCGGTTCGGGTCGTCGTGGATCTGCAGACTCGTCGCGCTTGCGAGCTCTAACTCTTTCCTGGCCGCGATCTCTTCTCTTTTGCGGGCCGCCTCGAGATCCTCCGCCTTTGTACCCGTACGCAGCGCTTCTTCCGGCACGGCTTCCCACTCTGATCCAGCAGGCTCTTCTTCGTGCTCCTCTTCTCCTTCCTCGTCTTCTTCTTCTTCTTCGCTTTGTTCCCCCTCGCTATGCTCGCTATAGCTTCCCTCTTCGGGGGTTTCGTCTTCCTCACCAAGCTCTTCGTCGCTATCCCCGCCTTCCTCCTGCACGTCTTCGTCTTCGTCGCTCCCGGTGCTTTCTTCTTCCTCCTCTTCTTCTCGAATGGCAGCAAACTGCTCTGCTGTAGGGTGCTTGAAGAAGGCAGGATTGCGAATCGTTCGGGGATCCAAGTATTGTTGCTGCGACGGCGGGATGCGCTCTGCGGCTCCTTCTACGCAAGCCGACCACTGAAGATAAGGTGTCAATGTGCGAGAAAGTACGTGGGGGACTGGATGTTCGTCGTCTTGCGAGATGATGTCGAGAGGGAGATCGTCCGCTAGCTGTGCTACCGGGATCATGAGCTCTTGCGTGATGAGTTCCTGGTGGCCAGGCCACACTTTACCGAATAAAAACGCGAGAAGCTCTCCCTCCACGTTGGTTCGCCAAGCCTGGATAAACAGCAACTCCAGGCGCTCTATGCAAGGCGAGTGCGCTTCGTCCTTGATTCACATCAGCCGTATCTCAACCAAGCACAGTGAAAGGTCGATGAAATCTTCGCGCCACAAGACCCAATGGGGAGGATGGAGAAGGGGGACAGCAAGGGGCTTTAGACACTTGGAAAGGCGAGGATGGATGTTGGACTGCCAGAAGGTGGGGAAGGTGGAGGGGAGATAAAAAACGGAGATCGGAGAGAGACTCATTGGGGACGTGGAAAGGGAACAAGGACAGGGAGATCTGTCGGCGGCTCGCGCTGATACATCCGAAGGCCGTCATATTCGACCGCTCGTGTCGTTGCGACTGTATCTCCGGGACGAGCCAAAAGTTGGGTCCACTCGACGACCAGGTCGTTTGCCCACGCGCGCAGCGATGCCTTCACCGCTGAATGTCATAGGGGAAGGAGCGTGGAGAGATCGCCCCGGAAGTTGATGACGACCGATATCCGGCTGACCCCTGGCACCGCTCGCTGGTGGACTGCTACGGCTTCGGCCAGTACTGCCTCGTCAGGCCGGCCTTCTATTCTGAATACCGCTGCTGCATACACGCCTTCCGTGCAGAAGAAGTGCGCAAGCCGCCGAAGATCTGGACTGAGGCAGGGATGATAGACCTGCCGGATCGTCAATCGGTCACGGGGCGCAAGCGCTGCTTCGCTGAGGACCCTCTCCTCCAGAAAATTCATGGCGATGGCGACGGTGATGCAAGAGGAAGAGGGAGATGGCGGAGAGTCAGAGTCGTCGACGGCGGCTTCCTCCGAAAGAGAGATCGAGGGAGAAGGAGACGGAGCAGAGGGGAGGAGGCGAAGGTAGGACACGTGGCGTGTGATCGGGCGAGCCGATCGGCTGCCAGAGACTTCAGGGGCGAGACGCACGGTGTCCACGCCGTTGGGGCCGAGCTCGATCACGCGATATCGCCCGAAGAATCGTGGCGCTAGCTTACCCTGACGAGCACATTTCCTCACCCGCACCACGTCCCCCAGTTTGTACTGGGGCCGCGGACCCGCATTCCTATTTCGGGCCTCATAGCTGTCCCTAGCCGTGGCCCTGGTGGGCCGTCGATTCAATGTAGACTCATCTGGGAGGCTTGGTATGGAAATGCAAGCGACGCTGTTGGTCCTTAATTGGAAGGGGCTTAGCCCTGTCGATTCGTGGGGCGTTCCGCGATGGACCGCCAGGATGTGATCGACGATATCGGGCCAAGGCCTTGGATCCCGTGCCGCGATATTTCGTCGGAATGCTATCTTTATCACCCGGTTAGCGTTTTCGACCAGCCCATTGGATTGTGACATGTGGGGTGCAGTATTCCGTATGGCGACGCCATGTATGGCCAGATTCTTTAACACCTCTCCCTTGAATTCAGCCCCGTTGTCGGTCAGGATCTCTTCCGTATCCTGATGCATCCCGAGGAAACGGTTGACATATCGCGCGATTTTCGTGGCTTGTCGTGTGCGACAAGGATACGCTTCGATCCATTTCGAGAAATGGTCGAGAAATACCAATAGGACTAAATATTCGCAACTATTAGGGCCAGGGGGCACCACTATGTTGGTAGTGTCCATGCTCACTCTTTGAAATGGTCGTTCAACAACCGTGGGCACTATCGATCTTGGTGGCTGAATCGGCGCTTTATCAGCGGCGCAGACTTGACAGCTGGCGACAATGTATTTCACATCGTCGCGGATGTTGGACCAATACCACTCATTTTTGTCTATCGCGGACTCCGTGATTCGTACGGCAAAATGAGCCGCAGTTTCCTCGTGGGCCGTCTTAACCCAGTCATACCGCATGAACGGATGCGGTACCACCATCCAAATCCCACTGCCGTTCGTTTTCCGTTTTTCTAATCTGCCCTCCATCCATCTGTAATCCCGAGCCCTTTCGTTGGCCCTCCTCCGATCTTCCTTGGTGAAGTCCTGGAGGGGGTTACCTACTAGGGTGAAAATTAAGGCAATATCAGTCCATACTTCGGCCCTTCTAAACTTCCGGGTCTTTTCCAACCCTTCTGACGTGGCATCCAAAAAGCGAGCCTCGGTCGGAATCTTGTCGGTCCGGCACAAGGGGCACAACCACGGCTTACTATCGTTTTTGTATTGGATGCACGAGCCATGGGCTCGTGCGACACATTGTCGGCAATCTATCCAATCGACATACCCTTCCCCGTTAGGACACATGGAGACCGAGTATACGCGGGAGATAGCTTCGCAAAAATAGCAAAATTTGTCAGGCAGGGAGAGGAGAGACGAGGAGGAAAGGGGAGAGAGAGGGGTAGTGGGGTTACCTCCATCACCCATCGCCACCGTTTTACTTCTTGCCACGTGGAAGAACCGCCACTTGTCCGTATTTCGGCTCGTTGGTCAAGTCCGGCTCCTTCCACGGTGTAATTTCCTTGCCCTTCGGTACCTTGGCCGGTCGGTGCAGACGTGTCAGCCCGTCCGCGTTGTCGTGTCGCTCTGTCTTTCGATGGACGATATCGAAGTCGTATTCTTGCTGTCGCACCGCCCAACGGCCAATCATGCCCGTGTAGTTGGTGAGTTTCTTCAGCGGCAGCAAGGGTTCGTGATCTGTCACGAGGCGAAACTTCTGTCTGTAGAGATACGGATGGAAGTGTTGGATTCCCCAGACTACTGCGTAGCATTCGCCTTGAGGTGCCGAGTCATTCCTTCGTTCGTCCGGTACGGTGCATGACGCGTACTCGATGACGTGTTCTCGACCATCGCTCCCCTTCTGCGCTAGAATAGCGGAAATAGCTTCCGGCTGCCAGTCTGTGATGAGAATGAACTGCTTCGAGGGGTCCGGCCGAATCAAAATAGGGGCCGTCGCCAAAGCGTCTTTGAGGGTTGCAAAGGCCTGCTGGCACTCCGCGTCCCAGCTGAGAGGCTGGTCCTTGCGTAACAGATTCGTTAGTGGTCGTGCAATCGCGGCAAAACCCTTGATGAAGCGCCGGTAGTACGATGCCAGCCCCAAGAAGGCTCGAACCTACGTCAGTGACGTGGGAACCGGGGCTTCTTTCACCGTCGAAACTTTTCTCGAGTCTGACCGCAATCCTCCACGTGTCACGACATAGCCCAAGAACGAAATTTCCGAGAGGAAAAATTCGCTCTTCTCGAGCGCAATCTTGAACCCAGCGTCTCTCAATGCGCCCAACGTCCATTCGATGTGTTGCGCATGCGCGTGATAGGTTTCCGAATAGACCAGGATATCGTCCATGTACACGATCACGCAGAAGTTAATCATCCCTTGCGTCAGCCGTGTCTTGTTGACGAAGTTCTGGAATGTCATGTTCATCGCTCGCTGAAACGTGGCCAGCGCATTGCAAATCCCCATTGGACACCGAACCCACTGCCACGTGCCCTCAAACAACACAAAGGCCGTCTTCGGCCGATCTTCCTCTTTAACCAGAATATGATGGAAGCCATGCCGAATATCAAACTTGCTGAAATAATTAGCTCATCCAATCGCATCCAACAAATCATCAATCCGGGGGAGGGGATACACATCTTTGATCGTGATTTCATTTAGCTTGCGATAATCAATGCAAATGCGAATCGCTCCGTTTTTCTTCGGTACTAACACTACGGGAAAGGACCAAGGTCCGGTGGCGGGTTCAATCCAGCCGATGGCTTCGAACTCCCGAATTCGTTCAAGAGCCTTTTTGCGTTCAATCAGGGAATACCGGTAAGGTTTGCAATGAATCGGGGAGTGATTTCCTGTCTGAATTTCATGTTGGATTACCAATGACAACCCAATGTCAATATCTGTCACGCTCATCGCTCCTTGATATTCCGTTAGAATGTCCGCAATCACCCGGTGGATTTCATCCGGTACGTACTGTGGAACGTGTAGTTCAAAAAGTTAATCCCCGTTCCGAACGTCAATCTGTTTCGTGCTCGCCTGTTTTGCCAAGTCGGGTGGGGGCGCCGAGATGAATGAAAGGTCCGATCAGGAGAACACCGTGGCCATCATCTGGGCATCTTCCTCGCGGATTGCCACATGTCCTTCCGGGGTAATCCCGTCACAAACATCCCACCATGGCACTTCCTTAGTTGCGATCTTTATCCCCAGTCCGTTTGTTTCTGCTTCGAAACGCCCAGGGGGTTCCAGAGAGCTTGCTTCCGCCCCCAAGCGTAACAATCTCACTTCTTTAGCCGATGTTAATAAGGACTTGGGTAGATCCGTAATGTCACAATAATGCTTCTTGTCGCTATACCGGGCGAGGAGAGGGGTGATTCCTTCGTACAGAGTTTGAGGGGGTTCCAAAGAATCGACCATCCTTGAAATCTGTACGAGGGGCTCACCCAAGATCATCGCCTTGGTTCTTTGAATTTTTCGGCTGGTCAGTTACATCATTCTCGCTATCGTTTTGGGCGGCGGGTAGTAAACGTGCTGTCGTGCTAATTTCAAGATCTCCGGATCATCTTCGTCACTGTTGTGCGCATCATTCGTTGATGACTTTCCGTCTGCGGATTCATCCCAGGAGATCATGCGGAGAGTCCCTGCCATCATCGACGAAACCCTCGGGGCCGTGTTAATGGTAGTGTGAAGGGTCAATCGCATAGGCACGGCATAGGGTTTTCCTCCTGTATTCGGAGGACGATCGATCGTCGTTCGAAGTCCAGGTTTGCTCGTAACGCCACAAGAGCGGGAAGTCCGAAAAGAACGTCGTACGTATTAACGTCTAGTACTACGACATCCCCAAGCGCGTATACTTTTCCTAATCGGAAGGCAACATTGGTCATTCTCCCCACAGTTTTGATTTTTTCCTCATCTGCCGAAACGAGCTGGTCTTTCTCGGTGAGCATAATCAGATCGTTTCTCCTACCTGCCCTTTCGACCACTCTTAGTGAGATCGCCAACACGGCTGCTCCCGAATCGATAATTGCGCTGTAGGGAATTCCCCAAATTTCAATATCACATTCTGTGGATTTCCACGGAATTGGTTTAATCCGTAGGAAATGATCGTCTTTTTGGATTAAACCTACTCGT